AGGCAGTATCACTTCAGAAGTAGGATTGCCCAACCTTCTTTCCGAGGAGTGGCTGGTGGGTTTGAACCGCCAGCCGTCTGGTTAGCAGGCAAGTGTCTTAGCCACTATGTTACCAGAGCTCCCAAATACTAGAGCAAAAATATTTGGTCCAATCTAACTAATGCATCGTTGTTAGGTGCCATCAAGTTGTTTCTGAGTCATAGCCACCCCACACACAGCAGAACTAAACTACCTAAACTAATGCATATGCTGAGTATACTTTGTTGCTGTTCTCTGCCATGCAGTAGGTTCTGCCTCATGACAACCCCATGTACAACAGAACAAAACACTGCCCAGGCCTGTACCATTTCACAGTCATTGGTGTGCATGAGTCCACTGCTGTGGTCACTGTGTATTGTGAGTACCTTCTAACTTAGAAGAGACTCTAATACTCTAGTACTGTATCAGACAATATTCTGGCGTGATGCATAATGTTTTTATTGGCTAATTTTCAGAAGTCTCCTCTATTTTGTTAATGCATCCTTCATTATTTTAAAATGTGACTGTTACAGTGGTAGAACAGGTGTAAATGAAAGCTTTTTCAACTAGATAATATTAAATGGGATTTCTCTGTTTACAGTTTCCTTTAAAAACAGTATTTTTTTTTTGGACATCAGAGAAAATACTGACCCAGCAAGCAGTAAACTGTACATATAGTGTCCTTGGGGATTATTTAAGTATTTCTTAAAGAATTGTGAGACTACATTAGAACATCATTTAACCATAATACCCTAATTTTCCTTTGTCTCTAAGGTAATGATAGCTCTACTGATCCATTTATTAATCATATTTGTGATTTGATGGCTACTATGAAGTGCCTAAGTTCTGACTGAAATTCAAGATAATTTTACCCACATGATAAAAGAAAACTCAACGTCAAAAATAAACATCATTTTTAAACTTTGTTTATTCATAGATTAAAATGTAATACCGTACAGTTTTACCAAACACTTAAAATAAAAAAGGATTTATATTTGCATATAATAGAAGCAAAACATAAAGATATGAAATAAAATGCCATCTTGCTTCAAGTTTTCAAATCAGTACTTAAAGTACTAATATACAACTATATACAATGCAAGTATATTATATAAATATACTATAAGTAATCTCAGAACCACAATAAATACCAAGTAGGTTTTTAGGCACATGGCATAGAAAAATGCAGTAGCTGCATAATTCTTGAGAGTGCTGAGTGACTTATTCTTAGATCATTTCCACACATATATTTTACACAAAATATATAGCTGTCACTCACATGATCCCCATCACCGCTGAATCTAACCTTTCATCCAGCATTAGTGCCTTCTTTTCTTTGATACTATTGCTCTATACAGCTATTACATAAGAAAATATTTTGCAGATTTCTTCACTAATTGCCTAAGAAGGTATCAATGCTAACAAAGTACAGCCTATCTTCACAATATATTCATGAAAATGTGCTAAGAGGCACAGACTTACAGAACTGCTCATTGTAATACTGGGAGTTACCCTGAAGGTAAACTTATAAATTTTAAGGTATAGTATTTTTGAATTTCCAATACTATTAAATTCAGAAATTATTAGAAACTGAGGTAACACCTGTTTTTGAGAGATAGAAATACTTGAAAGCACTTTTAAAAATTTTGCAAACATAAACCTCAGTCATTGTAAGCTGTTTGTAATCCTTTCAGTGGAAATGTAAACCAAAGAATCCAAAGGAATGCTCTAGCTGAAGGTACATACACTGTCAGGATTAAAGATCACAGCCACAGGACACCTGAGATCGTCCTCTGATAAGTGAAGCCTAATGCTTCTCTTAATAGAGCCAATGTTCAGTGATAAAAATGAACCAAATAAAACATGCTGATTTTTCTCTCAGCTACAAGTCAGATTCAGGCATATCTGGCATATCTGGCATATCTGGCATATCTGCCATCAAGTATCCTATTCCATACCGTCCATTGGGAGCAGTATCCAGAGTTGGTGATCCACTCTGTTTACGATAAATATTTTTACCAAAATTTGGAGATGACATCTCACTTGGTATCTTTCCATGAATAAGGCTTGCATCATCTCCTTCTAAGTTAACAGGCTCTTTCAGAACCCTTCCTCTCTTATAGGTCACAGATGCTAAATTACCAGAACTGTCATCTATGAGGTTGAAGCGACGAATGATGAAGACCACTGGGATAGGGAGTATTGCCAGGACCATCAGAGAGATACAGACAACCATCCCCCATGTTGGATAGCTCAGAAATTCTTCAGATGCCTGTTAGAGCCAAAAAGTAATTATTAATATTACAAAAACATTTCTGGACATATACAAAAATATTTACATTTATCTCAGATTTTTAAGCAAAAAATTTAGGCTGGCCTTGTGGCTTGTTTTGACCAATAAGAATGCAATGGAAGTAACAAAAGTGACCACCAAGGCTAGGCTTTAGAAACTTGCAATTTCTGTTTCTACTCTCTTAGAATGCTAAGTTGAGTTCATGATACTGTGAAGAAGCCAAGAATGAAAGACCATCTAGATAAAGAAGAAGGACGAGCTATGCCATTTCTCCCAGCTGAATGCAACTGCATGAATTAGCCCAAGGGGCCAGTTGAAGAACTGCCCAGCCCACCTTCAGAATTGCAAAATTAATAAATCACTGCTGTGTTCAGTCACTAAGTTTTGGAATAGTTTGTTACTAAACAACAGACACCTGTGATATGTGCTGTATTCTCTCTCTAAACTCTGACAATCTAAATTTTGAAGCACCTCTGGCCCCCAAGATTTTTGTAAGAGATAACAGACTGGTTTATGCCTTAGTTATTATATAGAATTACTGACTACAGGGTAGTTAAAAATTGGGGATGTCTATGAAAAATAATGGCTCTGATAATGGCTAATCTTTGTGATCACATTATTTTGTAGCTAATCACTTGAAAATATAAGTTGAAATATTCATTGTGAATATAAAGCAGTTACAGTAAAAACTTTATTTCAATATTTACTTATGTGTCAGCATTATTTCATGGTATGTAGGACATAATTTAATAAATTAATATAGGCCAATTTTTGGGATATTTGATTAATATGTTTTCTAGAGCCAAAGGCCTAATAATTATTAAATTATGTATGGTAACATGAATAAAGCATCTAAATGAGGATAAGGTCAATATTTCCAATGTATAAAAGAAATCCTCAATGTATATAAAGATAATCATAGATGTTTGGGGCACAAAACATAAATTTCAAGATTCTTGAATAAGAGCAACATTATTCATTAAACAATAAAAAAAGAAGATAAAACCAGTGAAAAAAGAAAAAGACATAAATTTCTAAAGTGGCATTTTATAAATATTTTATCTAAATTCCCAGTTTTGTATTTTACCTTATCTTCAATCCATGCATTATAGCCAGGAGGACTTAATCCCATATTTACAATGCTAGCTATTAGCAACGATAATAGCATGAGAGGAGAAAGGTATTTCCACATATAATAGTAATATCTGTTGGGTGCAAAGCCAAGCATATCTTTTAGGTCTTCCACAAACCTAAATATAAAGAAAATATTTCATTACTACTCCCATTAATATTATCATATCTTACAAACGTGTGTCACGTCAATGGTTTGACAAAAGTTTATCAATGAAAATCCTATTTTACACTGAATCAAAAAGTCATATTGTAATACAAAGTATAAGTTAAGAATATTTATAAAATAAAATGAAATCAGGTAAGTATTGTAATTTTCATATGGTAAAACCCTCTTAAGCCAATTACTGATTAGTCTCCTCTTTCTGTTGACTTTCTATTCTATGAATTAAATGTTTACAAAATATTAAAAATTCCTTCTTGCATTTTTTTCTTAGCAACAATTCCTTAATAGTGTTAACAACTGTGGTGTCATCTTTTTTTGTGTGTCAACTTGGCTGGGCCTGGTTGAGTGGCTGGGCAGCTGGTGGTAGTTATTCCCCATGATGAGACTGGCAATCAACTCCATGGTGGGATCTACCACAAGCAGCTAAGTAGCTGCCTTTGGGATGTGGTCTGCTTCCTGCATAGAAGGAGAAGCCTTTGGGAATGGTCTCTAGCCTTTGGCATGCTTGGACCCTGCATGTAGCCGTGTCGTTGCTCAGCAGCCTGCTATGCTCTGCCGACCTTGGGACTTAGAGTGGACTTAAGTTAATGGCCTGCCATGTGGATTGGTCGGGACTGTGCCTTTTTACTTGTCAACCTTGGGGCTTCTCAGCCTCAGCAGCAAGCAGCTGTCTAAGTGAAGAAATGTCTCTAGCTTCAGTGGGCCAGGAGCAGGAGGCAAAGCTGGACCCCAAGGTTGAGGGGCTTTCACCCAGCCCCTAGAGCCTGGCACTTTGAACTTGGACGTAAAGCCTCCAAATTGTAAGAATAAACTCCCGTTTGTTAAGGCCATCCTATTTGTGGTATATTTCTTGTCAGAGTGGTACTAGGTAACCAAAACAACTATACAAGCCACATTTACATTTTCCAAACTCTTGTTATTTGTTAGTGTTTGACTGAACTGAAAGGAGATACACGCATTACAACTAGTTAAGAAACTCTTAATCTATATGATCCTCCTTCATTTCTTCATTTTTTTTTTTTTTTTTTGCCAATTTTTTGTTGAATCAGTGGGGTTCTTTGTCCTATAGTTTTTTACTGTCTGAATCTTGCTGATTTAATCCACAGTGTTGCTTAACACATTTTACTGATCCCCTTATTTCCTGTAAACCAGTACTTACATTTAGAGTCTTGATTAGACTTAAATTTGATTTTATAAGCAATTTATTGAGGTATAATTTATAAGGGAGCTCTGGTGGTGTAGTGCCTAAGGCATATGACTGCTAAGCAGAAGGCTGGCAGTTCAAACCCACCAGCTACTCCTTGGAAGGAAGATGGGGCAATCTACTTCCGTAGTGATACCACCTAGGAAACCCAAGGAGGGGTCGCTATGTGTCGGATCTGACTCGATGGCAGTGAGTTTGTTTTTTTTTTAATTTACATAAAATAAAATTCACCTTTGTTTTCATTTTCAGCACATGGTGCTGACCTTGTCAGAACATACAGCCATTACACGCTAGTTTACCTTACTCTAATTTAAGATAAATATATAATGCCTACACACCAGTCCTTGTATTGATGTTTCTTCAGACTTTTCCATTGTATAAAGCTAGGTATATCCACCAGATTCTTCAAAATGGACTCATGATACAGGAGTCCCCTAGTGTTCTAATACTCCCAATGGAACCACCTGAAACCATGGATAGTACCAAGCCCTATATATACTGTATTTTCCCAGTACATGCCCAAGCCTACTGCTATCAAGTCAATTCTGACTCACAGTGACCCCCACTGGGTTTCTAAGGTGATAAATCTTTACGGAAGTAGATTGCCCAGTCTTCCTTCTGTGGAGTGGCTGGTAGGTTTGAACCACCAACCTTCTGGTTAGCAGTCAAATGTCTTAGGCACTGTATAATAAAAGGTAATTTATAAATCAGGCACAGTAAGAAATTAACACTAACTTATAATAAGTTATAACAACATACTGTAATGAAAGTTATGTGAGATGAAGTGAGATGAATGACGTGCATTTTGACACAGCATTAGGTTATTATTTTCACACCGTAGGTAAGTGAAACTGCTGAAAGTGAAACTGTGGATAAGGAAGGACTACTGTAATTATATTCCCTAATTTCTTTCATGTTTGTAATTTTTTGTCTGTAGTCACTATATGTGAATGTCAGTTTGGCTGGACTTAAAATCTGTAGCTTACATTTTCTTTCCTCATACATTGTCAATATGTCCTATGACATAGTATTGTTTCAAAAAGTCTATTGACTTTCTTATATATGACTTTTTTGGTTTTGCCTGGATGCGCCAATTATTTTTCTTTTTCTTTGAAGTAATATTCTAGATTATGTCCTGATGTTGGCAATTAAGTCTGTCTTCCCATGCATATTGTGTGCCCTTTCAAAATGCAAGTTGTTCTACATTTCAGGAAAGTTTCTTTCAATTATAATTTTTAATATTTATTCTGGCCATTATTTTTATGGATTTATATTATACATATTTATATTTATATAATACATATATATAATTTATATTATACAGCTATACATGTTAATTTATCATTGCTTCATTTATGTTTTTAATTTAATATTTCTTCTCTTCATCTTCTACATCTTCTAATTCTCTTGAAGAATTAGCCATTGTGCTTATTTTCTTTTATTCCTTTCCACCAATTTAACCTTTATTTTTGAAGTGTTTTTCTTCTATTCAATTATTTCCTGAGTTAATACCATTGCTGTGATGAAATAGTGATAGAAGGATATACTGTTTCCCAAATTTTTCCTATTATATAAGGTATTATGACCCACAAATTCCCCTCATAAAACCATTTAATTAAAAAAATTAAGAGCATAGGATTTGTAGTTAAACAGAAATAAGTATGAATCTCAGGTCTGTCACTGTCCTGATGTGTAGTGAACAAGTCACTTGGTGTCTCTCCATGCCTTAGTTTCCTTGACTATGAAATGTAGATAACAATAGTACCTCAAAAGAACTTAACAAGGTGCTAGGCACAGACCCAATACTCCCTAGGTGCTGAGTTATTATTGATAACCATCTACCAAAATTAAATCAAAACTCCAGAATCCTAGATTAGACTACAATTTATACAATTCTATCTAATCACCTAATAGGGGAATATATTTTATTGAAATCATTGTATGAAGAAAATCCCACAAAAAGATTCAATTTTGTAGTTAAGAACTTTCCGTCTACTCCTTTTTCTCCTCTCCATGAACTAGATATTGACAAGTGTCTTTGCAAAACAGAGACAGAAAATGAATGCCTAAAAGCAAATGTACTTACTTATCTATGCCATAAACAAAGGATACAGCAATATTCTCCAGAATGACCACAATTATCAGAGGCAGAGTAGCAGAATAATCATCAAACATTGTAACAAAGTAATTTCCAGAGCGCTGCACAAATATCAGGCCAATACAAAACGCCAGCAGACAACAGATAACTGGAAAAAAAGGAATAAATGGAAAATAAACCTCTGTTAAAAGTGAAGTATTTCAACTTCACTATGAATTGTTATATTCAAACAACAGTTTTGCTGTAACTTTTATAGATTTTCAGTTATATAAACAGGCAATAGTTTTCCTGCTACTGTGAAATATAACACATTGGGAGTTACGTTACTGGGCTTAGCCCTGGCCTCAATATTAATTCACTATAAGATAGTATGTCAACTCATCTCCCTGACCCTGGGGGAAAATATTTAATAAGTGGAAATAACAAATGAGGCAACAACCAAGAGATTTTAAAAGTATAAATCCCTATACACAACATCTCTTATTAATAGCAAAGTACCCTTCCAGGCAGAAGCTCTGGTAGCATAATGCTTAAGGCACTTGACTGCTAACCAGAAGGCTGGCAGTTCAAACCCACCAGCCAATCCTCAGAAGGAAGATGGGGCAATCTACTTCCGTAGTGATACTGCCTCAGAAACCCAAGGAGGGGTCACTATGAGTCAGGTCCAACTCGGCAGAACATAACAACAACAACAACCCTTCCAGGCAGCAAATGTTCATGTCTTTTGCACCTTTAATGAGGTTTTATAGTCTTGGAATATGTATTCAATTTTTCAACATCTGACTATTGTGTCTTATCAAAATATTATTATAAGATTTTTTGTATATTTGATTGAAATATAATTATGTTAAAAGCATAATGAGGAATATCTGATCAGAGCTAAACTCAACACCAACATAAATCTATGTCTTTACTCAGCCTCATTTAGTTTAGTTTGGATTATGATAGAGACGGACAATCTGGTTACCCAAGAACAATGTTATAAAAGGAGTTTCTCAGTAGTATGTAAGAAACAGATGCAGAAACTTCAGACCAGGTATCATTAACATAAAAAGAAAGAGCTTTTTAGAATCCATATAATATGTGTATATTTATGTTACACTTTATTCTCTCACACTCAGTAGAGAAGTTCTCAAAAATTCAGATGACTGCATTCTATTGCTCAACTACCTTTGAGCAGAGATGGGTAAAACTGAAAGACCAGGATGTGGAAAAGGGAAAGTAACATTTACTTACAGTCTACTACATACATTAAAATATTTAAATGGTTGGTACTGTATACAACAAATTTTAATTACCACACCTAATTCTAATAGCATTCCAACTAAAGTGTGTATTAACATCTTTATTTTTAAAATGAGAAAAATTACTCTGAAAAGAATTAAGTATCATCCCTGTCTTAGGCTGGGTTCTTTAGAGAAGGAAAACCAGTGAAGCTTATGAATATATATATATAGAGAGAGAGAGAGAGAAAGAGAGAAATTTATCTCAAGGAAATGGCTCACACAGTTGTAGAGGCTAGCAATTTCCAAATCCATGGATCAAACATCAAGCTGGAAGGGTCTCCAGCTTCATGCAACTTTAGGGGCTGACAAACCGAAGATCATCAGGCAATACAGTTGGCTGCTGGTTTCGGTGGCTGATGAATCCAAGATCATCAAGTAAATGGCAGATTGTTGGCTCACAGGCTGCAAATGCAACAATCCCAAGAGTGGCAAGCAATGAGGCAGACAACTGGTTCAAGTCCAGGAACCAGAGATGATGATAAGGCAGATGCAGGATCCAAATCAGATCTCATCATGGGGAATGACTACATTTTAACTGCTAAACCACTGAGAACCATGGCCCAATCAACTTGACATACAACCTTAACTATCACAGTACCCAAAGTCTTATGCTGAATGTGGCAGAGCTAGGAAGTGAACCCAAATCTGACTCTACAGTCTAATCACTATCACTCTCTCCACATTACACTATGTGTGTGTGTGTGTGTGTGTGTGTTAGCTACCTTCAAGTTGTTTTGACTCATAGTGACTCTACATACAACAGAACAAAACACTGCCTGGTCCTGCGGCATACCCACAATCATTGCCAAGATTGACCCCATTGTTGCAGCCACTGTGTCAATCCATTTCTTTAAGGGTTGTTGTTGTTGTTATGTGCCGTCGAGTCAGCCCTGACTCACAGCGACCTCTCCTTGGGTTTCCAAGGCAGTATCACTACGGAAGTAGGATTGCCCAACCTTCTTTAAGGGTAGTCCCCTTTTTTGATGACCTTCTACTTTATAAAGCATGATATCCTTCTCCAGGGACTGGTTCCTCCTGATAACATGACCAAAAATGAGAGATGAAGTTTGGCCATTCTCACTTCTAAGGAGCACTCTGGCTGTACTTCATCCAGGACAGTTTTGTTTGTTCTTCTGGCAGTCCAAGCATGGTACATTCCATATTCTTCCCCAAGAGTACAATTTAAATAAATCAATCTTCCTCTATCTTCTGTATTCATTGTCCAGCTATCACATGCATATGAGACAACTGAAAACACCATGGCTTGGGTCAGGCAGACCTTAGTCTTCAAAGTGACATCTTTGTTTTTTAACATTTTAAAAAGGTCTTTTGCACATTTTCCCCATGCAATATGTCATCTGATTTCTTGACTACTGCTTCCATGGGCTTTTATAGTGGATTCAAGAAGTCCTTGACAACTTCAACCTTTTCTCTGTTTATCATGATGTTGCTTATTGGTCCAGTTGTGAGGATTTTTGTTTTATTTATGCTGAGATGAAATCCATACTGAAGGTTGTAGTCTTTGGTCTTCATGGGTAAGTGCTTCAGTCATCTTTGCTTTCAGCAAACCAGGTTGTGTCATCTGCATATGGCAGGTTAATGAGTTTTCCTCCAATCCTGATGCCATGTTCTTCTTCATATAGTCCAGCTTCTCAGATTATTTGTTCAGAACACAGACTGTTTCAGTTACCTAGTGCTACTCTAACAGAACATATCACAAACGGGATGCTTGAACAAACAGGAGTTTATTCTCTTACAGTTTGGAGGCTTTAAGTCTGAGTTCAAAGTGCCAGGCTCCAGGGGCTGGGTAAAAGCCCCTCAACCTTGGACTTCAGCTCTGCCTCCTGGTCCTGGCCCACTGAAGCTAGAGGCATTTCTTCACTCAGACAGCTGCTCGCTGCTGAGATTGACAAGCCCAAGGTTGACACGTAAAAAGGCATAGTGCCAATGTTACCAAACTACAGGGCAGGGCATTAATTCAAGTCCATTGGAAGTCCCAAGGTCAGTAAAGCATGGCAGGCTGGTGAACAACGATACGGCTACATGCAGGGTTCAAACATGCCATAAGCTAGAGACCATTCCCAAAACTGTTTTTTTTTTTTTAATGCATTTTATTGAAATATAATTTATGTACAGTGAAATACACAAAACTAAAGTGACATGGATCAATGCATTTTTTTTTTTTGCAGTGTTCCCTCCCCTCTCCTCCAACCCCTGGCAACCAACCAAAAAGTTTCTCTCCATATATAAACCCTTCCTGGATCTTCCACAACAATGAACTGATACTATATTTGTCCTTCTGTGATTAACTTATTTCACTCAGCATAATGTCCTCCAAGTCCATCCATATTATGTGGTGTTTTGAAGACTCTACATTATTCTTTAGTGTTGCATAGCATTCCAGTATGTGTATGTACCATAGTTTGGTCATCCACTCTTCCGCTGATGGGCATGTAGATTGTTTCCATCTTTTTGCTGTTGTAAATAGTGCTGTGATGAATATGAGTGTGTATGTATCTGTTCCTATCCTGGCTCTCACCTCTCTAGGATATATACCTAGTAATGGGGTCGTGGAGTTAAATGGGATCTCCAATTCCAACTTTCTAAGGAATCACCACACTGTTTTCCACAGTGGTTGTGTCACTTCACAGTCACACAACCAGTGTATGAGAGTCCCAATCTCTCCACCAGCATTTGTTATTTTCTGTCTCATTGAACTTTGCCATCAGTGCTGGGGTGAGATGGTATATCTCATTGTTGTTTTGATTTACATCTCTCTGATGGCCAATGACTGTGAGCATCTTTTCATGTATTAGCTGACCACCTGAATTTCCTCCTTGCTAAAGTGTCTATTCATGTTTTCTGCCCATTTTTCAATTGGATTAATTCCTTTGGTGTTGACACATTGGAGTTTTCCATCAATCTTAGAGATAAGTCCCTAGCCAGATATGGAATTATCAGCAAATATGAATTTGTTGCTGTCATTTTTGTCATGTGCTTTTTCATTATGTTGATTTCTGTGTTCCATATAATTTTCTATGCTGAGCTCATTTTGTTTATGAATCATGTTATCACTTCTTTCATTGCTATTGTTTTAGTATTTGCTTAATATTCATGCTGGTCCTCTCTTTTATTTTGATGTGAAGGTTTATCATTTTTCTTTGAGGTTACCCTGTGATTTATAGTTTTCTTTCCAAGTTTAGAACAGTCCGTTCTGTCTGGTAGTTGTCTTGACTTTCCTACCGTCTGGAGGTTCCCAAAGCTGCTTCTTATATACGGGAAGCAGATCACATCCCTAAAGCAGCTACTCAGCTGCTTGTGGTAGATCCCACCATGCAGTTGATTGCCAGTCTCATGACAGGGAATAACTACCTCCAGCTGCTTAGCCACTCAACCAGGCCCAGCCAAGTTGACAACAACCTTAACTACCACACAGACTGAATAACTATGATGAAAGGATAGAGCCCTGATGTACATCTTTCCTGATTTTAAACCATGCAACATCCTCTTGTTCTATTTGAATGAGTGTTACTTGTTTAAGTTCCTCATAAGCACAATGAAATGTTCTGGAATTGCCATTCTTGGCAAAGTTATCTATAATTTGTTTTAATCCACACAGTCAAAAGCCTTTGCATAGTCAATAAACACAGGTAAACCACTTTCTGGTATTCTTTGCTTTCAACCAAAACCCATCTGATATCAGCAATTATATCCCTCATTCCACATCCTCTTCTGAATTCAGCTTGAATTTCCAGTACTTCACTATTGATGTACTGCTTCAACTGTTTTTGAATTATCTTCAGCAAAATTTTACTTGTATGTGATATTAATGGTATTTATTCATTGAGTTCCACATTCTGTTGCATCACTTTTCTTTGGATTGCCCAGAAAGTTATCTTCAAAATTTCGCTGCATAAAGGAGTGAGCACTTCCAGCATTGCAGCTGTTTATTCAAACATCTCAATGGGTATTCATTCTCCCAATTTCTGGAGTATTGTTTTAGCCAGTTTCTTCAGTGCAACTTGGACTTCTTCCTTCAACACCATTGGTTCTTGATCATATGCTACCTCCTGAAATGGCTTTTGTTGTTGTTATGTGCCGTCAAGTCGGACCCGACTCATAGCGACCCCTCCTTGGGTTTCCGAGGCAGTATCGCTACGGAAGTAGATTGCCCCATCTTCCTTCCGAGGAGTGGCTGGTGGGTTTGAACCACCAGCCTTCTGGTTAGCAGAATGGCTAGATGTCACCAATTCTTTTTGGTATGGTAAGTCCATGGATTCCTTCCATTTTCTTTTGATGTTTCCTTCATTGTTCAATATTTTGCCCATATAATCCTTCACTATTAAAACTTGAAGCTTGAGCTTTTCCTTCAGTTCTTTCAGCTTGAGAAATACCAAGCATGTTTTTCCTTTTTGGTTTTCTAACTCCAGGTCTTTACACATTTCATTAAAATGTTTTACTCGTTCTCTCTAGCTACTCTTTGAAATCTTTTGTTCAGGTCTTTTACTTCATCATTTCTTCCATTTGCTTTAGCTACTCTCCATTCAAGAGCAAATTTAAGAGTCTCTTCTGATATCCATTTTTGTATTTTCTTTCTTTCCTGGTTTTAATGACCTTTTGCTTTCTTCACATATGAAGAAGTCATCTTGAAGTCATCCCACAACACATCTGATCTTTGGTCACTGGTGTTCAATGCATCAAATCTATTCTTCATATGGTCTCCAAATTCAAATGGGATATACTCAAGGTTGTATTTTGGCTCTTTTGGACTTTTTTCATTTCGTTCAGCTTCAGCTTAAACTTGCATATGAGCAATAGATGGTCTGGTCCACAGTCAGCCTCCAATCTCGTTCCAACTAATGATATTGAGCTTCTCCATCATCTCTTTCCACAGATGTAGTCAATTTGATGTCTGTGTATTCCATCTGGCAAAGTCTACATGTATAGTCACTGTTTACCAAAACCAAACCGAA